GATCGTGTGGCATCTCGGCGGCGCCCAGGAGGAAAACCATCTCTGACCCGACCCTGCCGGGGATCGCCCGGGGTACTTTTCGTCCGGGGACCCCCAGGGGCCGCCCCGCGCGCGCGAAGTAGAAGGATTATTTAGCAGTTACAGGAGATCATAGCACGCCTCTGGCCCGTTGGGCCGGCGAATTCTATTCAGATTTGAATGATGGGCTGGGGGCGCGGGTCAAGGCTGGACAGTGGCACAATATCGACTGCGCTACGCTGGGACCGACCCGTTCGCGTGAACGGCGTAGACCTGGGAGCAGGGGGAACGGCCAGGCGTCTTCTGGAAGAGCAGAGGCTCACCTTTGCGACTTCGCACAGCAAGTATGCCCACACATACTGATCGTCCACGACTTTTGCGCGCGGTACCATGATGGACTATTGCTTCTTACCTTTGGGGTGGCTTGAGAGGCTTCGCAGATGCCACGTCGTTCGGGACTTGGGAGATGTTTGTCAGCCTGTTCGAAGCATCCCACCTCGGGATCACATCCCAGCGCTGTTGGAGCTGGACTACGAGAGAGATGCGGGCGCGCTCCGTCCAGCTCCTCCGCCTCGCCTCAATACTGACGCGCTGATGGCAGCCATTCTCAGAGGCGAGAGGAAGCACGATTTCTTGATGATGTTTGGGAGGCCATGGAGAAGATCATGGCAACTATGGGGGCCGCCTTTTTTCCACAACCACCACAGGCATCACGTAAATAATATTGTGCTGAACGACGCCGGTTGCTTGAACAACGCGCTGAACTGCGACGGGCACGAGGGCGAGACGAGATGACGGATACCAACCTGGAGGAGATAGAGGTTCAGCTGAAGGAGCTTAGCAAGCAGCTACAGAGGTAGAGGGAGAGGTCCATGGTGGCCACACGTGAACTTCTTCTGGAGCATATTCAAGAGGCCTGGCGTGGACGACGTATGCAGGAAGCGGCTCGCTTATCACGACAAGCAGCGGGCTGCCGTTTCGGGGCTCGTCATCGCGATGGCCGTAGGCTCGGGGTCACCACGCTCAGCAGGGCCGACTGGCTCGCGGCGTAGCAACTCGAAGGAGGTCGCGGCGGAATGCGGGTGCACGAACTTCAGTGGGAGGAATGGCGACGACAGCGAGACGACCTCCCACCGCCTGCCCTCCCAGCCGGGGAGATGAGTGAGCGCGCGTACAAGGCCGCCGAGGACTACGCTGAGCTGATTCCGTACTTCCGCAAGACGACTAAGATAAGGGCGGCACCAGTGGGCACGACTCCCGCTGAGCTGTGGGATTTGTGCTTCTCCTCGGACACCGGCACAGAAGCCGAACATTGAGGACTAGGCTGCGACGCTGGCGAGATTCATATGGATCTATTCAAGGAAATGATGCTACTGGGGCTGGCCAACATTCGACGCGCGAATGCGGCTCCCCCGTGCTGGTCTCGGAGCATGGGCCACGGCCTCGCCAAAGGCAGCTCCAAGCAGGGGGCGCAGGGCAAGCGGGCGATGCACACTTTACCCTCGGTGAGCAAGGGCTTCTTCGCCAAGTGGCTCGATGTCAGGGCGCCGCCGCGAGCGTGTGGATGAGCGAGGCGCAAGAGACGGGAGGGCGCGATCCTGGTCACCCAAGCTCTTCCCTGGCGTCCGCGGCAATCCAGAGTCAGTTTCGCCAACGCGATGAAGGACCTTTCAAATGCTGTCGGCAGTGTCTCCTGGGCGGCCTTCGACGCGGCGCTCGAGAGCTGCGCCGGGCGCGAGGATTGGGAGCTGCGCGAGAGCCACTACCGCGACGGGGTCATTAATATGCGAGGCGACGAAGGCACATACTACATGAAGCCGAACGAGGGGGGCATGATGGGCGACCCGTTCATCGTCGACGCTTTCTTGGGCTCCTTCCAGCGGCCCGCGCAGCGCTGGTCGGCAGCGATGCAGATGCGATCGGGGGCGTCTTTGCGTCGAGGTGCGCTCCCTGGCGATGATGAGGTGGATCTCTCTCATTGTTCTTATGCTGATGACCTGCGCCGCACTTTGCTCTTTGCAGTCGGTTGCGACACGTTTGAGGTGCAGGCGCAGTTGCAGAAGGCAGATGATGCGTTGGATGCTGCCCTGGCAATGGCTGGGATGAGACAGAATCGAGACGAGCAGGTCACGAGTTTTTCTTTAGTGGCGCGGAGGCGTCAGCGCGCAAGCAGTGGCTCGGAACTCTAGGACGAGTTGCTGGGCACGTTTCGGACGTTGCCAGGTACTTGGGCCAGTTGCTTCACCGATGCAGACGACGAGTCGCGAGCTGGGCGGGCGAATTTCTGCGGCGAGTTCGGCATTCTATGGTTTGGGTGGCGTGCGGTTGCTGCGATAACCGAGGCGATGGAAGCGCGCGCTGCTCCTTTCTTGTGCAGAACACGATGCTCTCGGCAATGGAATGCCCCTTTCTAAGCCAGCATCAACATGCGCGAATGGAAGGTCACATTGCCTCTTTGGGCCGCATTGCAATGTGCGGGCAGTCGTCCTGGATGGGCGAGCGGCGCCAGCAGAGGTTCTCGAATTTGCAAGTCCTTGCTTTTTGGCGCGTGGCTCCGCGCGCAGTCGAGCTTCGCGCTCGCCGTCTGCGCCGGTGCCGGGCCTGGGCGCGTCGCCCGCAGGAAAACAAGCAGATCTGGGCTGTGTTGTTCTCGCTCCTGGACTTCGAATCGGAGGATTGTGAGCCCTGTTCGCCCGGGTGTGGATTGACCCCGCAGGCCTCCCCATGGGCTCTCCAGATGCGGTCGGGCCTTCGAGCTGCTGCTGCCGCCGCGCTGGACCATGGGGGCCTGCTGCTTGCCTTGGCCCCCCCCTGGAAATTGATGGACATGGGGGAGGAGGAGATGATTCGAGTTCTTCGCCCTGGATTTCGCGGAATACCGAGCGTCGCGCTGCGCCCGCCAGGCCGCCCCGCCAGGGCCCGAGGAGGAGGTCGAGGTGGATGGGGGGGGGGGGGGGGGGCATGCTCAACGAGAGGCCTTTTAGATGCAGGTTCATTACGGAGGGGGTGGAGCGCGGGGCTACGTTCGAGGCGAGGGGGGCACTTGCTGCGCATCTTCGGCACAGGCACCGTGTATTAAATGCTGCACATGCACGCGCACCATCTAGTGCCTGTATTGATTGTAATGGAACGCGCGCAACTCAGGCCACGGCAAGCAGACGTCTTCAGATTGCTCTTCTTAGAGGCCAATGTGATCCAAGGGGTGCGGTTTCGAACGTGTCGTTTGTGGAGCCTACCAGTGCAAAATGCCCTGTATGTGAATTTCATGGAGCCAATTATGAGGATTTGCTGTTCCTCCTTCAGTTGCACTTGCCATTGTCGGTCAAGCCTTTTCGAGCACGCGCGGCTCGGCCCCCGCCCGACCTCAGAAGTCACGTCAGCGCCCGCGCTGCCAGAGTATGGTGGGGGCGAAGCGTGGTGCCCGAGGGTCGGTGGGAGATCAGTTCAAGCGGGAGCTCACCAAGAAGGACGACGTGGAGCAGATGAATCAAGCCTTGGCTCGACTCGTGGTGGGCATGGAGAGACGCATGGCGATGATGGAGTCGAATGTAGATCGCAGCTTTTTCCTGGCGGAGGGGAAGAGCACCCTCGGCGACGCGTGCGTCGAGGCCAACAGCAACTACGACAACGCGAACAAAGAGATGGACGAACGTCAAAAGGGAGGGGCCCAGATAGACTGGAAGTCGCGAGGGGCCCCGCGCGTCGCACTCTTCGCGCGCGCCATCACGCGCGCGATAGGCAGGGTCGCGCAGGGCGGCATCCATCCGAACGAGCAGGGCCACGCAGCTCTTCCTTCGTTCTGGGCGGGGGTGGTGGAGAAGCAGGCGCCCCAGATGCTTGGCCTGCTGGTGCTCAACTGCAAGTGCAAGAAGGCGAGAGCAATGAAGGGGGGGGGGGGGGGCGAGGGCATCGCAGTCGACCGCAAGGGGGCGCTCGCGCTCAACCTGAATGCGCAGGACCTACCAGCAGCCATGACACTCTGGCCGATACTGCAAGAGTATCTTCGGGACGTGGAGAAGACGGAGCAGATCCTTGGCCCAGCACCAAGGGGGCCGACGGAGCGATGGGTATCGTCGGGGTTCAGGCGCTGGTTGAAGCACCACATGCCAGCGGCACATTCTATAGTTGTTGCAGGGAGTCCACAGTGCACAGGCGATTCGAGCGATGGACTGAGGGCGCCAACTTGTCTTACTGCGACTACTGCATCTACTGGGGCTGTCGCCTCACGCCGTTTAGTTGTGCCCCCTCTGCCTCGATGCTAACTAGTTCTGAGCGTCTCCAGAGTTTCATTGGACAGGGTCGTGTTCCTAGGGATGTCTTCCAGCGGACGGTTGAGTTTTCGACTTATTCTGATCACGTCTTGCCGCGGGCCCCTGTTGTTTTGCGCCCACGTGCGGGGCCGACCAAAACGAGGGGTCGGGGTCGTGGTTTTCGTGGTCGTGGAGCGGGGAGTGGGCGGGGAAGGAGCTCTTCGAATGAGATCCCGCCTTCGGACAGACCTGATCGGAGTTCTTCCGCCTTCGAGCCTACCCCCTCCCCGAATATCGAGCTTCAGGCGAATCAAGCCGATGCTCGCCCGATCAGGTTCGTTCGAGAGGGTGTGGAGGTTCAAGCTGGCCCCCGAGGTTCGGCACCCTCCTTTCGGCTGCGCGCCACCCGAGGAGGTCCGCCGAGTATGGGGCAGCGCGGGCGGCGCTCGACAGGCCGTCCGCGCACCCGATTGGCCACCAAGCTGCCAGAGCAGCGCGCGGAGCTCGCAATTGTCTCCCTGTCTCGATCTGGATCTCCATCGCGTATTTTATTCTCCAGTATAGTATCCTCTTCCTCCTCCTCCTCCTCCTCATCATCATCACCACCACCATCATCCTCATCCTCATCCTCCTCCTCCTCCTCCTCCTCCTCTTCCTCCTCCTTTTCCTGCTCGTCCTGCTCCTCCTCCTCCTCCTCCTCCTCCTTTTCCTCCTCCTGCGACCCGAGCGGAGGCGCTGTCGCTGCCGGCGTGGCCCGTGCTGCGATCGCATTTTTGGCTCCTCCTGGGCAATGCGCTGCTGGCGGGGGCGGGGCAAGTCACGTTGCATCTTCGCGGGGCCGCGCTTCGGAGGAGGACAGGGTACCGATGCCGCTACCCTTCGCCTGTTCCCCCTTTCTCGGCCGCCTGGGAGGCCCTCGTCGCCACCGCAGGATTCGCGTCGAAATCCTGGTCAGAACGCACCCCAGGAGAGGTCCTGGGAGTAGCTCTGTATATGCTTTCCCCAGCGTTTGTCCCCCCAAATCGGTATCTTTCTTGTGCCCGACGCGGGCTCGATGTGAACTCAACGCGGATCGAGGAGCGGATTCGGCGCGGATTCGGCGTGGATTCGGCGCGGATGTTGGCGGGGACGGGGCAGCGCGCTGCTGGCGGGGCGTAGTCGCCACGGGGGGGGGGGCGGGGCAAAATCTCCAGGGGGCTGGGGCCAGTATCGTTTAACCGACCCCGAATCCCATCCCCATCCCCATCCCCTTCGAGACCCCCACCAAATTACCCCCCAGTTGGGGGTACACCCCTCGAAACGCGAAGGGAACGGCCTATATCCCCATCTCGGGGGGTACATCGGCCAGTGGGGCCCAGGCCACGCCGCTGGGGACGGGGGTCGGATAAACGATGCTCATGGGGGCACGTGTGCTCGGCGCTGCTATCTTTGCTTCCTCCGGGGCAGTGCGCTGCCCGCGGGGACGGGGCAGGGGGTCGAAGGGCCCATCACTTAAGTCGGGCATGTCCCTCTACAGGAGGAATCTTCAAAAATAGTCAGGCAATAGTCTGGGGACGATTTTTCGATTATTGTTTCGACTATTTTTGAACATGTTTTGGGGGGTATCTTTTATTCTTCGTCCAAAATCCGCCTGTAGGAGGACATGCCCGACCTAACACAACACGGCACAGACATGATCTCTCGAATGTCCGTGCGGATATCTAGAATCGGCGCTGGGCCCCCATGGCGGCGCTTCCTGCGCCGCCCCTGGCGCGCTCCGCGCGCCGGAGAGGGGGGTGGTCCAGCGCCGATCCGAGACACCACGCGGATCTTCGAAGTTTATGTTCATGTCTTTTGTACCTCTTCGCAGGAACCCAGACATCCTCCGACATGATTTTTTCAATCCGCGGCCCCAGAGGTCCCGACCCTTTCCCCGGGGGTGTTTTTTTCCCAACCATCCTGTGGTTTTGGGTCCTCGTTTTGAAGAGACAGCGCCCCGCGTCCCACCTCCTCTCCTCCTCCTCCCCCTCCTCGCCCTCCTCCCTCCTCCCCCTCCTTGCCTCTGTTCTCGGCACACCCCTCACACGTTTCGTGGCCCCATAGGGGGCTCCACCGAAGGTCCCAGTGGCACAGCCCGCATGCGGTTCCCCCACCCAGGGCAGCGTTTCGTGGCCCCATAGGGAGCTCCACCGAAGGCCCCAGTGGCGCAGCCCGCATGCGGTTCCCCCACCCAGGGCAGCGTTTCGTAGCCCCATAGGGAGCTCCACCGAAGGTCGCAGTGGCACAGCCTGCATGCGGTTCCCCCACCAAGGGCAGCGTTTCGTGGCCCCATAGGGAGCTCCACCGAAGGCCCCAGTGGCACAGCCCGCATGCGGTTCCCCCACCCAGGACAGCGTTTCGTGGCCCCATAGGGAGCTCCACCGAAGGTCCCAGTGCACAGCCCGCATGCGGTTCCCCCACCCAGGGCAGCGTTTCGTGGCCCCATAGGGAGCTCCACCGAAGGCCCCAGTGGCGCAGTTCGCATGCGCCCCCCCCCCACCCCCAGGGCAGCGTTTCGTGGCCCCATAGGTAGCTCCCCCGAAGGTCCCAGTGGCGCAGTTCGCATGCGTCCTCCCCACACCCAGTACAGCGTTTCGTGGCCCCATAGGGAGCTCCACCGAAGGTCCCAGTGGCGCAGTTCGCATGCGTCCTCCCCACACCCAGTACAGCGTTTCGTGGCCCCATAGAGAGCTCCACCGAAGGTCCCAGTGGCGCAGTTCGCATGCGTCCCCCCCCCGCCCAGTACAGCGTTTCGTGGCCCCATACGGGGCTTCCCCGAATGCGATACCCACAACTGCATATGGTTGGGTCCTTCGCCAGGCTAATTCCGTCCTGGATCCATTTTTGACGGTGTCGGGGCCCTAGATCGGCCTCTGAGGCCGAAATCGATGAAAAGCGGCTGGATTGAGAACATCACATCCTCGGAGGTTTGGGGAGGGACACCCTCCCCGCAGATCTGGGAGTCGCAATACCGTCGCGACGGCTGGACGGCTGGTTTCCCCAATGTTTGCTCGGCCTTCAGAGAGGCCTTTTTCTAAAGATCACGACGCAGGACGAAAAGCCGGCCCCGGGGAAGTGGGCGGATCAGGGGCCGGGTGCTGCCCAGAGATCCGACGCTCCGAACAAAATTGGGGCCGTGAGTTTTGAGCCGTTTTCGGCCTCGGGGAGCCCTCGCTGGGCTCGGGACCGTCGAAAAATTAATCAGATCGAAAAG